GGGCAAGAGATTAATTTTTGGGCCCGGGGGGCAAATCACCCCCCAGGTCAAAAAAGGGGCGAGAAGGGGGGTTTTGAGAAAGGCAACGGCTTGAAATTCAAAAATGGCCCCATTCCGGGGTACCCCCCGGGGCCCCCGGGATGGTCTACAAGTGGTCTTAGACCCCCAACTCGGGCCTAACCGCGTGAGAGAGAGGGGCCCTCCCCCTCCTCTAATTAGGAGGAGTTTATGCCAAGGGGACCTACAATTCCCTTTTATTCTCGGGTTCCAAGCCGGCAGTTTTGTTTCCCTTTGGTTTGGGGGTTCAAGGTCCCTGCCCCCCTTTTGTGCCAACCCAGGGGGTTTTTTTCCCCGCGTTCGGGTTTTTTTCTTTTCCCCAAACACCCAATTAATCTTCGCCTTCTTTTTCCCCCATTTTGAGGAAAGGGAAGGGATCCAATAGCTTCCTGGGGGGGGGCCCGACAAAGAACCTCCCCTCCAAACCAAAGGTGCTTTTTTCGCCCCCCCCCCCCCCCCCCCCTTTGTGCTATTCCGCCGCTCAGTGGAGCCGCTGGGTGCTCGGTCACTTTTATTTACCCTTCCCTCCTTGTCTTGTACTGCCTGACCCCCAGTGGCATGGTTGGAGCATGACGAGGGAAGGGGGGGGGGTGCGTGCGAGCTCACCAGGAGAGCTGTGACTACCATGTCTACGTTTCTCAGCACGAGACTGACCGCCTCTCTGACATCTCTCCCTCTCTGTTCTCTTGCCCTTCCTTCCCCCTTTCACCCCCCGGCCCCCTGATGAAACAGTCACACGGGGTGAGAGGTGGGAAAAAGAAGGCAATGGGTATGTTGGTGAGTTTCGTGTCAGGAATGCTGTCAAGCGCCGTCTCTCATCACTGGCCTGCGCCACTACCATCACCTACCCACGCCCCCCTCATTCTCCTACCATGCCGTGTGGCAGGCAGGGCTTGGTGATCGGACGGGAGGGCACATGCACAGGAAGAAGCAACGTTTGCTGAGGGAAAACTGGGTCGGGACGGGGGGGGAGACAGTTAGGCAGCGCACGCACAGAGCTGTGAGAGAGAGGGGGGGCCTCCAACACGTTGGTTGAAACTCCCATGGCTAACGAGAGCAGCTGTCACCTACTCAACCTCTCATGGGGCAGCGAGTGAGACACGACAGGGCGGGAACGGCGGCGGCCGCTGAGGACGTGACACCCAGGGTGCTGGAAGAAGGGGAGGGACGGCGGTCGGCCGCGGAAGGGAAACGGCACGGTCTTTTTTTTTTTTTTGGTTTTGGCAGTTCTTGGGGTCTCACTGAATTACTCCAACGGGTTGGTCTGCCTGACTGCCTGTGAGGTTTCCCCGAAAGGAGTGGGAGGGTGGGAAGCAAGGTTTGGGAAGGAAACCTGCCAGACGAGGAGTCTCGGCGCTGCTGGATCGAGTGACAGGTCCAGTAACAGGTCTTGGCAGACATCAAGGGAAGCATGGAACGGAGGCAGAAACAAATTGGCGCGGGTGGCGAGACGGGGGAAACGAGCACAAGACACTGGCACGGACAGTGATGGGCGCGCGGCCGTCGAGAGATGTGTGAGAAGGGGGCGAAAAGGGACGTGAGGTGTGGCAATGATGTTGACCGAGAGGTGGAGGGGCGTGTTTCTTGTGTCTACCTATGTGTATGAACGATGACAGGAAGGGCATGTTGAAATACATGCCAGTGGGGCAGCCTACAAGAGCAGAGAATGGCGGTGGAGGTATGTATCGTGGCGTGGCTGATGGCAAGCTGTCGCGGAGACACCCCGTAGGCCACGCATGCGGGCACGCAGAGTATCATCACATCACGAACGCAAAGGCATGTAGCCGTCCCGAAGGTAGGACGAAACAGGGGATCGGGTGGCGTGGGCCTTTGTGGGTGATTAGATCACTAACTACAGACCTGAGGCCGAAGCTACCGTCATTTTTCTCGTTGCTCCTTTACAATATACGTGCCTGCTTCAGGTCAGAGGGTCCCGCTTGCGAGGACCATCCCATCCTGTCCAAAAGGACAGGCAGACCGTTGTCACGAAAAGAGAACTAGACATCAAGTGGGCTCGCCCAGGCTGGCGTCATCCGCTTGGGACGATCTTCCAGGCTGTCACCTCTTAGGATGCATAATTGCTAGCTCTTGACTGATGATGGGGTTGTGAGATAGAGTCATAGGGACAACTAACGATAGCATCCTGAGGTGTTAGACAAGAACTTTCAACGTTGTTCACCCATCATTGCTCACGCCAGACAAATGATGACTACGAATACTGTGATTCAGCTCGAGACATCTCGCATGCCAGTCCTCGTATGCAATACTGCTTCTCTTTGTAGTCTTGGTGTGATGCAATGGAGACTGGTCCATCAAGTAGTACCCTTCGTATTGATCACAATTAATGGTCCCTTGCTTCCAATTAGTGCCGGGAGTGATGGGCAGCAAATCCATGATGGGCACATACTTATGTCGGCTAGGGCAATGTCAGTGTGGGTAGGCAGTTCCATATCCGGTGAGATTATGCAACGTCTTTGGGGCAGCTCATGCTTGGAATGGCAATCGATGCGGGGAGGTTGTGACGGGGCTTGGTGGCTCGACCAAA